AAGGAATCATTAATTGAACTGACAACGAAATCTGAAGAAATTCCAGAACAGCCCCAAGATGAAGATGGTGAAGAAACAGTAGTTCCAGCCAAAAAAGCTAAGAAAGAAGACAAACCCGCCAGGGACTTAAAGAAGGATGATAAAAAAGAAGATGAAGATGAGGAAGATGATGATGAAGATGCAGAGCATGATGCTGAAAATGAAGGTGAAGATGAGGAAGAAGATGATGATGAGGAAGATATTGAAGATGATGATGATGACGATGAGGAAGATGGCGGTAGCAGTGAAACGGGTGAAGATGATGATGAGGACAATGAAGACGATGAGGATGATGACGAAAATGAAGAAGATGATGATGAAGAGGGTGAAGGCGATGATGGCGATGAAAGCGATTAAGCAAACACATTTTAAAATTTTTAATATTTAAGATTTTATATTAAACTTACAATTTGTACGCTTAAATATCGAGTAATCATATAAACTTTTATTCTCATCAAAAATAATCCATTTTTCTATATTTCAAGACTCCTTTTTAGACTTTTTGCTGACATTTATCATTCATTAATAAAATGATAAATCTGGACAGTTGTTTAGTAAACTGTGAAATAAAGGGATGTAGCTTTGAGTTGTTGATAACAGCTAACGCTTTTACTCCCTGATCTGGGTGTGCCTTATTTGATCTACACTGAAGGAACGTGGCAATGTACATATCTTTTATTGTGGGTCCATTTTTTTCATAAATATAGCAGTACGAATTCTGTAGATCTTTTATCCTACGTCTAAAATTTTTCTTTTTATAAATTGTTGAGATCTTTTGCTACATAGATTTTACGCTCTAATAGAAAGATTTATACATATGTAAAGATTTGAATATTTTCCTTTAAGTGATATTTTTTAAGTTCCTGTAGTGTCCATTTAGCTATTTATTGAAGGTGAAACAACCATACAGTGAAGACGTCTGGACAACGTCTTGATTTTTATTGCTAAAGGCCAGCTTGAAGCTAAATCAGAGTATGTGTATAAATACATTTTTTGTCATTATGTGGTGTTGTCCCCAAATTTGATATTTTTCAAAAATCGGGTATAGATGTTTTACTATATAACTGCATGCAAAGTAAAAAAAATCTAACGATTTAAACAAAGTTCCAATTTACAGGCATAATATATATCTTGCTATTAAACTTAGTGTTTTGTTACCTATTATCAGTTATGGATAAGATTTAACTATAAAGTTAAATAATTACACTTTAAAGTAAATAAGGAAGATATAGATTAAATGGCTTGGAAAATGAATGTCTTTGACAGCTTTGATAATTTTGTATATATATATATATATATACAAAAACAAAATACAATATATTGTAATTCCTGTACTGGTATTACGCACCCAAACTATATAAAGACTTTAAAATAGAATTTAATATTAATTTTCATAATAATATTATATAAACTAATTCACCAATTAAATAGTAAAATATATAATGTAATATATAATTATATTTACTTATATTCGTATTATAATTATAAATTGATTCCATTATATTATTATATAAAAGTTTGAACTTTATTCATATAGTTTATTATGACATATACGGAATAAAAATGTGCGCCTCCATTAAGTTTAAAACATTTTGCAACACTACCATTTGAACTGTCAAACATGCATTTGATGACAGTTGTTAGTTGTTGTTGGTGGTGTTCTGTTCTGAGTCGTAGCGGAAACGTTATTCTATATTAATTATTAAATATGTTTAAAATACATAAGAAATATTTTATAAAATTTATGTTTAAAAGTTAATTATTTTATAAAGACGGGTTTTACAAAAATGTGCAAGAAGCGATCAAATATTGATAAGTAATAAACTCACCATTCACAGTGAGAAATTAATAAGCTTCAAATATGTAAATAATTATGTGTAACATATACGTGTTGGTTATATATATTTAATATATTTTATAAATGAATTAATATTGAAACCTTTGATTCAATGTGACTGCCGTTAATTAAACTTATAAAACATAAAAAAAGATTGCATTGTTTATCGATATTTCAAAGAGCGCCTAATCCAAAGAAGCACATCAGTCGAAATTCTTGGATAAAGTAAAGCGTTCTGGCTGTTGCCGGAACAGTTACGAAACAGGATGCCGAAAATTTACATGAAAAAGCCATTGGCGGGCATGGTCATACGAAATCGCAACACCATTAAGGATGTAGTTATTACGGTAAGTTTTTCAAATTAATTCAGAATTTTGAGTTACTAAGACAAGTCATAAAGATAAAATTTCGTGTATGAATCACACCAGTTGCGTTAAGCATAAAATGTACTAATTATCTTTTCGCTTCAAATTTTGCTAAATAAATCGTTATTTGATATTTGATCGGACTTTCAGTTAACTTTTTATTAAAATTTCATATAAAGTTGATTGCGCGAAAGATAATCTCTAATCTAATGTAATCTAACATCTCTAGCTATTATTTATTGATTGTTTTTTATGGTGTAATCACATTTTTATGTACACATGTGTATAATATTAATATTAAAGTTGTTAAATTTTACATTACAATGCTTAATTTTGTTCTGTATGAAGAAGTTATATACACAAAAAAAAAATTATTAAATAATATTGCCTATTTCGTCTATTACCTTACGTTGTCTATGATTTTGGATTATACCATATATAAAACATGTGTCTTTATATATAAAATAATAAAAATATAATAATAATAAATAACCACAAGATAATAATAATAATAATAAATAATAAAAACTATAGTTGAAAACCGAATCTAGAAGCGGACGTATCATCTATCTATAAACACTTGTTATCAACGACCAAGTTTCACCCATAAATTTCTTCGGAATCTCACAGTTTACACAGCAGGAAAATTAAACAACATTTCTTGAAACTGAAAAACTCTACCCAAACTATAAAAACAGAACCACAGTTAAGGACGGCAATTACTTTTTCAACATTCCTGTAAATGTACCGTTTTGCCTTAAAGTATAATTTCTTGATTATTAAAATTTTCGAGTTGCGACTATTGAAACCATATGAAACACCTGTAATATCGAAAATCGAGATATAATACATCGAAAGCACTGTAAGTAAAACAGCTGTAAGTTTTATCACTGTCTATTGTATTGTTTTTTAAGCCAAATTGGAACTGGAAAAACGTTTAATACGTTTCGGTAGGACCGGTACCAATATCTTTCCAAAAAATCCCATTTTTTAATGCGAAAAACAAAATATTTTGCGTTATAGTATCTTTACACGTCAATCCTTAAATACTTAATGTAGTATATTTTTACTACACATTCAAAAATTATAATAAATAAAACATTAGCTAATGTAACATAATCCGATGACACAGCGTATGGCAATAAACTTTACAAGTGCATATGTGATTGCAATCCGAAAAGTGTGCCCATTAAAAAAAATAATAGTAATATAATTCTTGTGAAATATTATATTAAAATATATAATAAATTCTGATAAATTTTATCAGAATTAATTTTGCATAACTGCAAGTTTTAATTATTTGAATATAAATATTAAGGTTTAATCAATAAATATAATTCATTAAATTTTGTATAAATAATTCATTTAGAGTTTATATATATTATATGGAATCCTGCGATTCAATGCAATTCTGAAATAATCATACAAATTATAATGGAAGTGCCAAACATTAAAAAATTCTGGTCTAGTGTATGAGCACCGTAGTTTGAACTTGCTAGGGATTAACTCTCTAGAGGATCTCAACCAGTTGTAAGGCCATAACTAAATTATTTACATTAAAATTTTGTTATGCGTTAAAATCTGTCCAAGATTTTTTCGTTAATACAATGGTCCAACATGCTTAAGTTGATTCATGTCATCACCATTACAGCCCACCTAAAGCATCGTATATATGGCGATAATACCAGCGAATACTTTTAATGCAAAAATTATTGAAAATATTTTATGAAAATAGTTCTGTTATTTTTAACTTATCACTCGCCTGACAACTAACAGATAAAATTTTCTTTTGTGTTTTTTTCTGAATATTTCTAAATTTTATTCTTATTAAAATTTATTTAAATGAATTTACACTGCAGTAGACCAATACTCGCATTTGGATAAAATTAAGTACTTTTATTTTATCTGATGATAAAGCACGAGCATTTGTTGGAAAAAATTATTTGATAAAAGCACAAATAAACTTATGCTTTATTAAATTTTACAACACAAATGAAAAATTTGTTAAAAATACCATAAAGAGGGAGTAGAGCAGGGTTTGAGGAGAGGTTAAAGAACAAACAATGTATTTAAATTGTTAAAAAGCTGATATAATAGCACATGAATTCTGTATGCTCAAATAAAGCAATTAAAATTTATTCGTTTATGAATATTTATGAGTTTAATAATTCAAATTCATATTTTCATGCCGATTTGTTCTATATAAATGTAATTGTAGTTACATTTGTATCTTCATATATAGTTTAGTGTAAGCTTTTCATATATGAACTTGTGAGCGTTCACACATATTAAAAACAATATAATTTTACTATTCAAAAATTCGTCATTGATTTTTAGATATTTTATTAGCCCTTTTTTTTTTTTTTGAAATATTTTATTAGTTCTCTTTTTTTTTAAACTTTTGAAAATCATTTTTAATTAACGGATTGATTGTAATGTTATAAAAAATATAGTTTTATTAATTGATAATAATTTTTTATAGTATATTTTTTATATACATAGTTTATATATGTATATAAATCCATTACTTTTAATTATAAGTAAAGTTCATTTTAGCGTTCACGCGTATATATATATAATTTCTGACAACATTAGCTGTGTTTCAGCAAACATGATCCGCTCAATTTTACATGCAAAACAAAAACAATGGGGTGAACCAGCAATTGATCTGGTTCACTTTCTGGTTCAATGTGGAATGTGTGTAAAAGATAAAAGTGGAACGTATTTTAATGCAAATGAGGTTGGCAATGCGATGCAACGGTGCAGTAAAATTATAAACAAATCTACATTTATATTTATTTATTATTGATTTTATTTATTTATTATTTATTTTATGTACTTATTTATTTAATATGTCGTTATTATTTATTTCTTTGTTTAAAATAATGTTTTAACTATTACTATAATTAAAATTATTACCTTATTTATTTACGTTTTATTATTATTGAAAAAGTGTTGTTTGATAATTTATTAAAATCAATTAATTTGAAATGAATATATATAAATTAAGTTGAATACATTTATTTAATTAAAACAGAACAATACATAAGGATCCAGGCTCTCCAACATAAACGTTTATAAAAAAATCATTTTCATCGCAAACTGCCTGCAATATTAAGCTATAGTCATGCTTTCTTTTGAAATAAGCCTATTTG